TGTTGCACCCATGCCCTGGTCAAGCCTCTCATTGCTCAACTACAACACTGGCGACGAAGGTGGGATGGCTACCAGAGGCAAACCGCAACAGCTGAATCACTAACCCGCTGATCCGCAGCCGCGCAGTCAGAGAGCTCGGTCGGCAGACAAGCGAAAGTGAGAAGCGTCTGTAGCCGCTTTTGGTAGCAAGCTACAGGGAAAGTGTAGCGCTGCGAGCCGCAGCCGCTCAAAACAAAGGGCGCGAAATTCAAACGGCTGTCATTTGAATTTCTTCACAGAACACAGCGCGGTGCTGTGTTTCCTTTTGAAATCACTGACGCTTACGCAGGCGCCAAATTCAAAACGCTGCCAACGGCCGTTGCAGCCTAGCCACGTTGCAACCCAGAGAGAGAGAGAGGCTTGTGGGGAGCCCTCCAGAGCTGAAATCACTTGCCTGCCAAAGGCACTAGAGTTTTCTCTTGTTGTCCCAGAGAGATTCCACAACAGCAAGCTACTAGATTCTCAACATGAACTCCAACCCAGCCTTCCCATCATTCAAACCGGATGAGGAGAGGTGGGAGTCATACAAGAATCATTTTAACCACTATATCGATGCCATTGGGCTGGCTGATGCAGGGGAGCACCGAAAAAAATCATTTTTCCTGAGCTACTGCGGAGCCATCGTTTTTGATACTGCCACAGCACTCGTGGCTCCACGTGAGTTAAAAAATGTCCCCTGGACAGAACTGTTAGAAATCCTTACTAACCACTATTCTCCTAGACCCTCACAGATTGCCAGGCGGTTCACCTTCCGAATGAGGAAGCAAGCAGACAAAGAGACTATCAACCAGTACATGGCTTCCCTCAGGACTGCAGCACTCCATTGTGGTTTTGGGAGCTACCTGGATGACATGCTCCTTGATCAACTAGTCTGCGGGGTCAAGGATCTTCACCTCCAAAGACGCCTACTCGCTAGGAAGGACCTCAACCTCGCTCAAGCCGTCGAGGAAGCCCTGGCAGCGGAGCTGGCAGCACACTCAGCCACCGAGATCCAAGGTCCTTTTTCCAAGCAAATTGCAGTTTCCATCCACTCTGAAGAGGTGGTCATCGAGGAAGACCCCAGTGATGCGGCCGACATCCACCGCCTCGCCCACACCAGACACCCGCAGGTAGGAGCCAAGCAAGAAAGTATCAGTCCACCCAAGCACATCTCCCTGTGCCTATCCTGTGGTGGATCTCACCCGAGGGCCACCTGCAAATTCAAGGGAGCCACCTGCAACAATTGCCACAAAAAGGGGCACATCGCCAGAGTCTGCCAAGCCGCTCACAACTCGGCACAAAGGGTCCCTTCCTTTTCACATTCTGGACCCCAAAGGCAAGTATTGAACTGTCGCACTCGCCACCATGCTAAGCACGCTTGCCATGCCATTAGTAAAATCTCACTATCCGTTTTATTAGAAGGTAAACCTTGTCGTATGGAGGTTGACACGGGGTCAGCGCTCTCAATTCTCTTGGAGCACCCTCAAGAAACTACAGCCCAGACTATCCAGAAACCGGCTCCAGAAGTGCCAGCTTAGCCTGAAGGACTACCAGGGGAAGGACATTCCTGTAATCGGCAGAGGCAAGTTTCTTGTTAATTTTAAAACTTTCAAAGGCCACCTACCTCTAGTGGTAGTTAACGGCAACCTCCCTACACTCTTGGGGCTTGATTGGTTCCCCCACCTCGGCCTAGGGTTAACAGGAGTCCATGCTGTCTCAACCTCTGACACTGACTCCTTATTCGCTGACTACTCAGACGTATTCAGCGATGAGCTGGGGTGTTATAACGGTACCCCTATCTCATTCTCAGTCGACCCCCAAGCAGTCCCAATCCGGTTGAAACCTCGTAGAGTTCCATTCACTATTCGGCCTAAATTGGATGCGGAACTGGATAAATTATTAAAACAAGGGGTCATTGAGCCAACAGATTTCGCCAAATGGGAGACGCCCATTGTCACACCCCTCAAAAAAGACGGTAGCCTGAGAATTTGTTCAGACAACAAAACCACAATTAACCATTTTTTACAAGTTAGCGCTTACCCAGTACCCGTCATTCAACATTTATTGCACACTTTTGAACCTGGCAACATTTTTGCCAAATTGGACATGTCACAAGCGTATCAACAGTTCCCTGTTGACAATCAAACAGCCGAACTTCAAACCATTGTCACCCACAGGGGTGCTTTCCGGTGCAAGCGTCTCCAATTTGGTGTAAGTGTTGCTCCAGGCATTTTCCAATCCCTCATGGAGCGGATATTGCAGGGCCTCCCTGGTGTAGTACCCTACTTCGACGACATTTTGGTCTCGGCCAGGGACAGACCCCAACTCTTCCAGAGAGTTCGAGCAGTGCTAGAGAGGTTCAGACAGCATGGCCTCAAGTTAAAAAGGGAAAAATGTGCCATTGCCACTAGACAGGTGGACTTTCTGGGTTATAAAATTGACGCCTCAGGCATTCACCCCCTGGAGTCCAAGGTTAAGGCAATTCACGAGGCACCCACACCAACCTCCAAAGCAGAACTGCAGGCCTTTTTGGGATTATTGAATTTTTACGCATCATTCCTGCCCCACAAAGCATCAGTGGCAGAACCCCTGCACAGACTTTTGGATAAAAAATCATCTTGGCACTGGAGACACAAGGAAGACACCGCTTTTCGCGCAGTCAAGTCACTACTCACTTCAGATGCAGTCCTTATTCAATTTGACCCTAACCTTCCATTAGTGCTGGCAGCTGACGCATCCCCTTTTGGAATTGGAGCAGTGTTAAGCCACAGGCTCCCCAATGGCTCCGAGGCCCCCATCGCCTTCTTTTCCAGGACGCTCTCTGCAACAGAGCGCAATTACAGTCAAATCGATAAGGAAGCTTTAGCAGCTGTCGCAGCAGTGAAGAAATTTCATGAATTCCTTTTTGGCCACTTTTTCGAGCTAGTCACGGATCATAAGCCTCTCCTGGGTCTCCTAGCAGGAGACAAACAGACTCCCCAAGTGCTGTCTCCCAGGATGACGAGGTGGACCCTTTTCCTAGCAGCGTACTCGTATAAACTCATACACCGTCCAGGAAAAACATTAACCCACGCAGACGCCCTCAGCCGCTGCCCCCTGCCTGCTCCAGCTGAAGACCCTGCCCCGGTCCACGCTATCTTCGAGGTCACCCAGCTTGACCTTCCCATCACTGCCCTTGACATCGCCTCCAAATCCAAGGCAGACAAAACGATCGCCCAGGTACTGGACTGGGTGGGGAGGGGGTGGCCGGGAAATAACATTGAAACCAAATTCACGCCTTTTAAGACCCGTCAACAGGAGTTATCGAGCTTGCAGGGCTGTTTGCTGTGGGGCACCCGAGTGGTCATCCCGACCTCACTTCGCACCCGAGTCTTGGAGGCACTACACGAGGGCCACCCTGGCATCGTCAGGATGAAGGCGTTGGCGCGCAGCTACGTCTGGTGGCCAGGCCTCGACGATGACATCATCAGATGGGTAAGCTCTTGGCATCCCTGCCAAGAATCCCGACCATCGCCTCCAATCGCCTCCCCCACAAAGTGGGAAAGCGCCAGCGCACCTTGGTCCAGGATTCACATTGACTTGGCGGGCCTGATTCACGGCAAAATGTTCTTGGTGG